ACCCATAGATATTAAGGCCGGAAGTGACTGTTATGATTAGCTAGTCTAATCTCCTGCACAACACAGGCCATTCACAGAATTTCACTCAGTTATTCCATATCTTGAAGTTGAGCTGGAGCACAGATTTCAGAAACACAAACTAAACCTTGATGTACGATGCACAAGTTATGTTTTTTAATTAAATGCCATGTAACGATCTGAAAAACACCAATATTAATACAAGAAATAAAGAAGCGCTGAGTTATTTGTGCTCATAAGAATTCTTTCAGAAACAGAGAATTCATCATTTTTATCCAGAAAAGTTCCAGCAGGAAGATTGTATGCTTTAATAAAGCACCTTGGAAAACTAACATCCTTCAAGTCTATAACTGTCCAGTCGTGTAGAAATTAACTTTTAAGTAGAGTTTGGTGGGAAAACATTTTAATTCTTTGATAAAAATGAAAAACACTCAAGTTTGTTGACATTGTTCTTGAAAAATTGTCCAAAAAAATCTCTTTAGCTTTTGGAAACTGAAAACCAATAACAAAAATTAGGGCTTTTTTAATATGAAAACCTGGAAATTATCAACAAAACCATTTTTTTTGGTAGAAATTTCCAGTTAATCAGAAAGCTATTTTTCATCAGAAAAATTTCAACTGGTTTTATTTTTAATCAACTAAGAGAAAGCTATAGTATGAGTTGCTTTGTGGTGTGTCAAACTAATTAATTCCCCAGTCACTGATGGTAATACAAACCTCTCCTCAATATTTTGGTTTTAGGCTAATTTATTTGTTAGGAAGATCATTGGCCGAATTCTCTGTTGCTCTGCTCCATGTGTAGTCATTTAGGGCCTAATTCAGGAAAGCAATTAAGCAATTGCTTAAAGTTAAGCATGTGCTTAAGTCAGGGCCTTGCAAAGTGAGTGCAAAGCTCCGATGTGGAAGCATGTCACGCTCACTTTGCACAGGGGGTAAATGACGCAAGGTTCAGAGTAATGGAGAATCAGGTCTCTTCATCCACTCCTAAAACACTGTTACCTTGAGTTTATGCTCCTTTCTGTTTATGATAACAGCAGTGATTTGCTGGTCCATGAATATCAAGATGGTGCAGAGGAGAGCTGGGATGAGAGCTGCTAACACCGTCCACCAGGGATTGGGCCCTATCGGGCTAATAATCCACCCACGGTCATCTCTTGTCGGCTACGGCAAAATACACACACACGGCATAATAAAAGCCATTTATTGAAGCAATGGTACCATCCATTCTCAGTCATCTTTCTATCTATGTACTTAACCGGCTCCCATCTCCACAGTACCTGAGGGCCTCAGTCTTGAATGTATTTATCCTCACAACACCCCTGCAAGTTAGGGCAGTGCTACTGTCCTCATTTTACAGATGGGGAACATGTTACTAAAGAGAACATTTTCTAAAGCTTCCAAAGGATTTAGGAGCCTATGTCCCATTTTTCCCCAAAGTAAAATATCCCATTGATTTAGGCTCCTAAGATCCTTGAAGGGGTATGCCTTACTATCATTGATTTCAATGGGAGTTAAGTGCTTAAGTATCTTTAAGGATCTAGGCCTAAGTGCCTAAGTCACTTCTAAAAACAGAACAACCCCCAAGCCACTTGGGGGCTTTTGAAAATTCCACCCTGAGAGTTGAAGAGGCTTTCCAAGGACACCCAGGGATACAGTGACAAAATCAGGACAGAGCTCACATCTCCTGAGTCCCACTCCTCACTGTTCCAAGCACGAGATCCCACAGCTAGGAATTGGATCCAGGAGTCCTGTCTCTCGCTGCTTTAATCACTAATCCATACTCCCCATCCAGAAATGGGAATAGAACCCAGGAGTCCTGACTTCTAGTCTGCCATCCTCCATAGCATGCTGCCTTTCACAACATACAATGTCATTACAAATGTGGATTGTTCAGTGAACCCAAATCTGTTACACCATTTGCTTACCTTGAAGACACCGGGAACCTGTAGCTTTGGTGATGGGACTCCAATTAAGAAATCAAAAGTCACCATAGTGACGATAGTTAAGAAAACAGCAAAGTCACTTATCATGGCTCGTACCTGGTATGAGAAATTAAAGAAGCATTTGGCATTAGTAAGGCTGCGAGTTTGTCACGGAGGTCGTGGAAATCCGATTCCGTGACTTTCTGGGACCTCCGTGGCTGCTGCTGGGGTAGAATCATAGAGTCATCGAATATCAGGGTTGGAAGGGACCTCAGGAGGTCATCTAGTCCAACCCCCTACTCAAAGGTAGTCTCGGAATCCCTGGATTCTTCCCTTTAGAAACATATCAATACCTACAGTCAATTCCAATAGTTCTATTACTTTATCCATATTACTGCATTCTCAATTTAGCAATATTGGTATTAGTCCAAATTGTTCAGGTGCCTGGGAGTGCATGCAATGGGGTTTGTGGGCACTGGCTAGATTCCACATTGTGGGCACTGGCTAGATCTCATTAGACAAGGATCATTCTAAATATATCACATATATATCCTGATATGCCGGAATCATGCCATGACATCTGCTTCACTGCATGGAGAATTTGATGAGATTTCCACTACAGCTGTTTGAAAAATGTTTCCGCCCCCCTCCCCCGGGGAAAATGTTGGTGGTCAGACAAAATATTTCAGTCAAAATCCAAAATATTTGAATTTTGAAATGCTGCCATGATGCTTCATGGGAGATGTAGTTCAGGTGCCTCAAGCTCTCATTTTCCTCTATAGTCTGGGCTCCCACCTCAAACTACATCTCCCAGGATGCACTCTGATCTTCCCTCTTGTAAGGGGAGGCAGTGTATCATGGGAGTCCTTGGCCATGGTGCATCATGGGTGATGTAGCCTACCTGGGAAACCCAGACCATAGTGGAGGATGGGGACATGAGAGCAATGAACTATAGTTCTCATGAAGGACCATGGCAAAATTGATGACCAGTCCTAATTTCCTCTCAGCCTTGGAATTTATAGCAATATACACTAATAAGAGCTACCATGAAATACTGGTCTTTCAGGAAAGAGAGGGTTGGCAGTTAGCCACCATCTTCTACCTACTTTTGTTGGGAAATAGTGGCTGGTTTTAAACATCTTCAGTGCGCCGGACATGATGAAGGTGGTGAAGAAGAGAATGCAAGACCAGAAGAGGACATCTGGCGTGTAGGGGCCATGGTGCCCACAGGCGGGTCCAGTAAATTCTCCATGCATTTTCCGACATTCCTGGAGAAACAGGTCATCAAGACACCACCATAAACACCCACAATGCCCGTGATACACCACAAATGTGACGTGACATCTCAAAAAAGAGGCTCTTTAAAGGCCTTAGTATCTGCATAGTCTGAAGACAGCATTCAGAGCTAAATCCTGCTATTCTTACATAGGCCAAACTCCCACTGACTACAATGCGCCTTTGGCTGACAGCGTATGGCTTTAATATGCATTAGGTAGCAACGTGTGGGAATGATCAGAAGGGCTGTGATGATTCATGGATATTAACACCCTCTTGTTACAAGTGTTGGTTGCTAACTTTTTTCATTCATAGATTTGAAGCCCTGAAGGGACATTTAGATCATCTAGTAAGACCTCTGATCCTCTAACTCTGAACTTGACAGGAGTAAACTATTAGTTACTTAAACTGAAATCACTTAACAGATGAGAGTCATCGCTTGGGGTCATGTTTTCAAAAGTGTTCATTACGCTACGGTTCCTGTCATGACACGTAGGTAGGGCCGGTGCAAGGAAGTTTTGCGCCCTAGGCAAAACTTCCACCTTGCGCCCTTCCCCCCCCAGCCCTGCGGCAGCTCCCCGCCCCCCCCTCCGCCCTGAGGCGCCCCCCCCCTGGGGAGCCGTGCAGCAGCTCCCCACCCCAGCTCACCTCTGCTCCACCTCCTCCCCGAGCACACCGCTCCCGCTCTAATTCTCCTCCCAGGCTTGCGGCGCCAAACAGCTGATTGGCGCTGCAAGCCTGGGAGGTGGGAGAAGTGGAGAAGCGACCGCGCACTCAGGGAGGAACATTGTAAAAAAAATTGGGGGCACCGCTTTTTGGCGCCCCCAAATCTTGGCGCCCTAGGCAACCGCCTAGTTCACCTTAATGGTAGCACCGGCCCTGCACGTAGGGCCAGATTTTCAAAACAGCTCAGCACCCAATCTGCTGACTAGAGCTGGTCAGAAAATAGATTTTCTGTCCTGTGAAACATTTTTGAATGTTGAAAAAAAAAATTGTTCCAAATCATGACAAGAAGCCAAAAATTTCAAAATTTTTGGCAAAAGGAGATTCTTTAAAAAAATTATTTTGTGGGGGGTCATTCGAAACGTTCAATAAATTTGAAATGTTTTGTTTCGATTTTGAGCACTTTTTAAAATGTATTTTTATTTTTTATACAAAATAAAGTATGTTTCAAAATGAAAAATAAATTTGAAACAAACAAACAAAAAACCCCTTTTGTTCCAAATATATCAAAATGGGACATTTCAATGTGTTCTAAATGTTTTTTTATTTTTTTTTTTTTAAGTGAAATTTTACTGCAAATATAATTTCGTAGAAAATTTAAGTTGCATCAAAGTGGAATTTTCAGATAGGAAACTGTTTGGACAAAATTTTTCCGACCAGCTGTAGTGTTCACCTCTTTTAACAATCTCTTCCTAATCATTGGCATGCTTATGCTTTGTCACTTATTAACCTTGGGTAACCAAGAACTCATCTAGCACGACACTTACCTGAATCGTTGCACTAATGACATAATTTGTGCAAACATTGTAAGACAAGCTGTTTACTAATGGAAAAACAGTAATGGAAATGTAATGGAAAAACAGCTGAGAGCATTACAGCCCTGCCAACGTGCATGTGATCTTAACAGAGTGGAAACGACTTTATTTAAAAACTAACCCCCACCAAAAAATGCACCAATGCTTTACATCACAAATGGCTAGCAGAATACGGGCTATATTGTGGTCACCCTGTAGGGTGCGCTAGAGTGCTGAAAGGGCAGGGAGCGCTCACGCACAAAGCAGCTGCAATCTGTCAACTACTGCTTCAAGGAAATTGGGAGTAGGCAAAAAGACACAACATTGCTCCAGGTCCCACAGGAAGCTAGCTAGGAATCATCCCCTGCTAGCAGCAGCAAACTACCGAGCCAACGTTAGAGAAAGTCCAGGCTGTATAGCTATAGAACAGGGGCAGTCGCTGCTGCTCCTAGACTCATAGACTCATAGACTTTAAGGTCAGAAGGGACCATTATGGTCATCTAGTCTGACCTCCCGCATGATGCAGGCCACAGAAGCTGACCCACCCACTTTCCCTTAACTCAGCTGTTGAAGTCTCCAGATCGTGATTTAAAGACTTCAAGTCGCAGAGAATCCTCCAGCTTGCGACCCCTGCCCCATGCTGCGGAGGAAGGCGAAAAACCTCCAGGGCCTCTGCCAATCTACCCTGGAGGAAAATTCCTTCCCGACCCCAAATATGGCGATCAGTAGAACCCCGAGCATACAGGCAAGACTCTCCAGCCGGACCCTCATTTTACCAGCGATGGCACGTTATTGCCTAATTGACTAAAATCACGTTATCCCCTCAAACCATCCCCTCCATAAACTTATCTAGCCTTATCTTGAAGCCAGACAGGTCTTTTGCCCCCACCGTTTCCCTCGGAAGGCTGTTCCAAACTTTCACCCCTCTAATAGTTAGAAACCTTCGTCTAATTTCGAGCCTAAACTTCCCCACGGCCAGTTTATATCCATTTGTTCTCGTGTCCACATTAGTACTGAACTGAAATAATTCCTCTCCCTCCCTGGTATTTATCCCTCTGATATATTTAAAGAGAGCAATCATATCTCCCCTCAGCCTTCTTTTGGTTAGGCTAAACAAACCGAGCTCCTCGAGTCTCCTTTCATACAAAAGGTTTTCCATTCCTCGGATCATCCTAGTGGCCCTTCTCTGTACCCGTTCCAGTTTGAGTTCATCCTCCTGAGTGTGTTGCAGTGGTTTGAGTATTGGCCTGCTAAACCCAGGGTTGTGAGTTCAATCCTTGAGGAGACCACTTAGGGATCTGGGGCAAAAATCAGTACGTGGTCCTACTAGTGAAGGCAGGGGCTGGACTGGATGACCTTCCAGCTCTATGAGATAGGTATATCTCCATATATATTATTGCAAGTCTCGTGATTTTTTTTGCTCACGGTTTTTAAGCCTAACTCATGATTTCAGGGGGCTGGACTCACGATTGCTCACCATTTGGGGTTGGCTGTACGGGCACTATCCCTCCTGATACATTATGCCTGCCCAGGGCAGTCCTACTCTTCAGATTCGCTTGCTCAGACAGGGCTCCTCCCACCTCCTCTCCCAGCTCTGACCTGGCTCACAGAGTCAAATCCTCAGAGGTGCGGGCTTAGACATTACTAGTAAAATGCATTTAAACTGGCAGCTACCAATGGAGATGCCTGCTCGCTGCACAGTGGCCGTCGAACAAGCCTGGGGTGAGTTAGGGTGCATTAAGGAGGGAATAGGCAGCAGGTTTAAAACCAACAAAAGGAAGTATTACTTTACACAATGCACAGTCAACCTGTGCAACTCGCTGCCGGGGGATGTTGTGAAGGCCAAAAGTATAACCGGGCTAAAAACAGAATTAGATAATTAGATAAATTCATGAAGGATAGGTCCATCAATGGCTATTAGCCAAGATGGTCAGGGATGCAATCCCTAGCCTTTGACTGCCAGAATCTGGGACTGGACAATAAATATGGCTCACTCGATGACTGCCTGTTCTGGTCATTCCCTCTGGGGCACCTGGCATTGGTCACTGTCGGAAGCCAGGATACAGGGCTAGAGGGACCATTGCTCTCACCCGGCATGGCCATTCTTATAAATAGAGAACAAAACCCAACGTAACGCTGAACTGTAAATCAACAGCACATCCTCAGCTTAAACTGTGAGTGCTGCTTTCATCTCGAGAGACCTCACAGAAAAAGGAAGAGTTCAAGGAAGGCAAGAGAGGGATGGAAAGGAGGGTTAACTCAATGATAATGGTGGAAGGAGAGGTAAGTTCTCATGGAAAAACCCACAGGAAGTGATCAGGAGATTTTGGGAAAAGACCTCTTTATGTTCCACACAGGGTCCCCGATTCCATTAAAGGACTTAAGCACACACCTAGCTTTAAGCAGTTCCCCTACCCACATGCTTAAAGTTAGGCACATGCTTAAGCACATTACTGAATCAGAGTCCTGGGCTTGGAGAAATTAGGCCCCACATCAGGAAAACACTTGTACCCGTTCTTAACTTTAAGCATGCGCTTATGTCCCATTGACTTCAACGAGACATAAGTGTGGACTTAGAGACGAGCACAGGATTGCTTTCCTGAACAGAGATGCTTTCCTAAACCAAGGGCATAGGCAGGCTGCATTTACTACTTGGGTCTTTGCACCTCCCCGGGCCAAGAGAATGCTGGTCCCAAGCATTTAAACTAGAGCTGGTGAGGAAATTTTTGACAAAATGTTTTTCCATCAGAAAATGCCAACTCGTCAAAACTGTAATTTTTGGTAGGAAGGGGTTAGTTTTGGCAACATTTTCACAGAACCTGGATGGGATGTCTGGGGAGTGACCTCTGAATAGCCAATAGACTAGGGCACTCAGCTGAGTGATAGACAGAGCAAGGACTTGAACCTGTGCCTCCCACGTGCTAGGTAAGCATCCTAACCACCAGGCTAGCATCAGTTTCCCTCTGCCCTGCTATTTTCTCATGGAATGTTTTATTTATAGTAAGTGCAGCAGCCCCAACAGGAGAGATTCTGACAATATATTCCAGCTGTTATGACACTCCCCTGGAGACCCAGGTTCAAGTCTCGCCTCCATATCAGATAGAACAGGGCTCCCGTAGGCCAGGTGAGTGCTCTAACCACCAAGCTATTCGGGGCAGGCCTTAGACTCTCTCTCTCTCTCTCTCTCTCTCTCTCTCTCTCCTCTTGTATTCACAGGAAACGGTGAAAGGTTTCCGTTTCATTGCACATTGCGGTGAAAACAAATGCTGAAACTTTGACATTTTTTGCAAAACAGAATTCCTGTTTTCCAGCCAGCCCTAATTTTAAACTCACAAGAATCTGAACTGCATTATTTCTATTACAATAGTTCTAGTACAGTTGGAGGCCTGGGATAACTTAGGGGCCTTAGGTAACAATTAGCAGCATGAAAAGGCAGAGCTAACATTAGCAGGAGTGTGACACGATGGTTATTTGGACCATGATGCCCTTCCGCTCCATTTTGATCTATATAGGGTGACCACACTGCAAGTGTGAAAAATCCGGACAGAGAGTGAGGGGTAATAGGCACCTATAGAAGGCAAAGCCCCAAATATCAGGATTGTCCCTATAAAATCTGGACATCTGGTCACCCAAGATCTGTAATATACCACAGCTAAGAGCACAGGGGCCCATGCACTTACACTGACAGTGAGGTTCGCCCACTCAATCGCAGAAGGGACAATCTTCTTGTCGCTCCAGAACTGTAGGGTTTGATTGCTGGGATTGTCAGGAGCGGCACACTTACAACTAAGAGCAAAGAAAACATATTAGGGTTAAAGTACCAAAAGAGGGGAACTCCTCAGCGATAACAGAACCTCGTTGCGCAATAATTATACTTAGCTTTTCATTTGGGGGGAGGATATGCTGTATTCTTCAGGATTAAGCACAAAAAGGTTTAAGAGCAAAACTGAGCTCAGCCTAAGTTACAGAGGCACACCCAGCACCTCCAAAGCGAAATATGTACCGTTATCCACACTGTGCAGATGGGGAAACTGAGGCAGAGAGCGAGGCAGGGACGTGTTCAAGGGCTCCTGAACGCAGGTGTCCTGACTCCCTGCCCAGTGCCCGAACCACTAGATCATTAAAATGCTCTCAAAGTACATAGCAAAATGCCAGTGGTTTCTAGGTGCTGGTGGATTCCCTGTTCAAAAGTTCCCAAATCTTTGTGGCACATCTCTGCGCTTTACCACTGAACAGTCACACATTATGTTAGCTGGAGTTCAAGAAGCTAAGTCCCTGCATTAAGACCCGATTCAGCAAAGCACTTAAGCGTGTGCTTAAATTCGACTCCTGACACGTCTATGGCCTTCACCATCATATCTGAGCATCCTACAATCATGGTGGATTTGATCCTCCCAACTCCCCCGCGAGACAGAAAAGAATTCTTACAGGCACATTAAGTGATTTGCCCAGGGTCACACAGAAAGCCTGATGCAGAGGGCTTGTCGACAGCTATTCCAGAAAAAGGCAGGATGTGTCTTCGGCTACGTCTTCACTACCCGCCGATCCGGCAGGTAGCAATCGGTTTATCGGGGATCGACTTACCGCGTCTCGTGAGGACGCGGTAAAATCGATCCCTGATCGCTCTGCCGTCGACTCCGGAAATCCACCTCGGCAAGAGGCGGCAGCGGAGTCGGCGGCAGCGCGGCAGCGGTCGGCTTTCCTCCGTCCTCACCGCCAGGTAAGCCGACCTAAAATACGCAACTTCAGCTACGGTATTCACGTAGCTGAAGTTGCGTATCTTAGGTCGGAACCCCGCGGTAGTGTAGACCTAGCCTTTCAAGCAGAATAGCTATTCCTGAATAACACCGTGTGTGGACACTTGTTCTGGAATGTTCTTAATCCACTTCCAAAGTGGATTCTGGAATAAGAATGTCCACACAGGGAGCTATTCAGGAGTAGCTGGCAACTGAAGTTGGGTCTCATGAACCCCAGCCCATCGTTCTATCCACGAGATCCTAATTTTTACTAAACAGTAATAAGTCACCAGGACCAGATGGGATTCACCCAAGAGTTCTGAAGGAACTCAAATGTGAAATTGCAGAACTACTAACTGTTGTTTGTAACCTATCATTTAAATCAGCTTCTGTACCAAATGACGGGAGGATAGCTAATGTGACGCTAATTTTTTAAAAGAGCTCCAGAGGTGACCCTGGCAATTACAGGCCAATAAGCCTGACTGCAGTACCGGGCAAACTGGTTGAAACTATAGTAAAGAACAAAATTGTCAGACACATAGATGAACATAATTTGTTGGGGAATAGTCAACATGGTTTTTCAAAGGGAAATCATGCCTCGCCAATCTACTAGAATTCTTTGAGTGGGTCAATAAGCATGTGGACAAGGGGGATCCAGTGGATATAGTGCATTTAGATTTTCAGAAAGCCTTTGACAAGGTCCCTCACCAAAGGCTCTTAAGCAAAGTAAGCAGTCATGGGATAAAAGGGAAGGTCCTCTCATGGACTGGTAATTGGTTAAAAGATAGGAAACAAAGGGTAGGAATAAATGGTCAGTTTTCAGAATGGAGAGAGGTAAACAGTGGTGTTCCCCAGGGTCTGTACTGGGCCCAGTCCTATTTAACATATTCATAAATGATCTGGAGAAAGGGGTAAACAGTGAGGTGGCAAAATTTGCAGATGATATAAAAGTACTCAAGATAGTTAAGTCCCAGGCAGGCTGCGAAGAACTACAAAAGGATCTCTCAAAACTGGGTGACTGGGCAACAAAATAGCAGATGAAATTCAGTGCTGATAAATGCACAGTAATGGGATTATGTTTTCCAATGTGCAACTATACATATAAAATGATGGGGTCTAAATTAGCTGTTACCACTCAAGAAAGAGATCTTGGAATCATTGAGGATAGTTCTCTGAAATCATCCACTCAATGTGCAGCGGCAGTCAAAAAAGCGAACAGAATGTTGGGAATCATTAAGAAAGGGATAAATAATAAGACAAAAAATATCATATTGCCTCTATATAAATCCGTGGTATGCCCACATCTTGAATACTGCGTGCAGATGTGGTAGCCCCATCTCAAAAAAGATATATTGGAATTGGAAAATGTTCAGAAAGGGGCAAAAAAATATAATTAGGGGTATGGAACGGCTTCCATATGAGGAGAGATTAATAAGACTGGGACTTTTCAGCTTGGAAAAGAGACGACTAAGGGGGGATATGATAGAGGTCTATAAAATCATAACTGGTGTGGAGAAAGTAAATAATGAAGTGCTATTTACTCCTTCTCATAACACAAGAACTAGGGGGCACCAAATGAAATTAATAGGCAGCAGGTTAAAACAAACAAAAGGAAGCATTTTTTCACACAACGCAGAGTCAACCTGTGGAACTCCTTGCCAGAGGATGTTGTGAAGGCCTAGACTATAACAGGGTTCAAAAAAGAACTAGATAAATTCATGGAGGATAGGTCCATCAATAGCTATTAGCCAGGATGGGCAGGGATGGTGTCCCTAGCCTCTGTTTGCCAGAAACTGGGAATGGGCGACAGGGAATGGATCACTTGATGATTACCTGTTCTGTTCGTTCCCTCTGGGGCACCTGGCATTGGCTGCTGATACTGGGCTAGATGGACATTTGGTCTGACCCAGTATGGCCATTGTTATGGTTCTTATCCATGGACCAGTGCCGGTCCCCGAGATCTCCCTGACAGAACTTAGGAAGGCAACAAGCTGGTCCCTGTTATCAAAAAGGCTGAGAAACACTGCGCTAGATCATCTTCCTCTAAGCACGTGTTTAAACCCATTCTTATTCAGCAAGGTGCTGCAGTCCTGGTGACGTCAAAGGGAATTAAACATGTGCTTAAGTGCTTTGCTAAACAGGGATGGGCTTAGGCGCATACTTTGCTGAATCAGCATCTTACTGTCCTGTTTGATGAGAGTAGCTTTAGAAAAGAAAAGGAAAAAAAAAAAAAAACCAAGATGAACTCACTAGTAGAAGGTAAGGTGGTCGAGCTGGCTGTGCATGTGGATGGGGTAGGTCACCCCTAGCTTAATCAGTTTCTCTAGCGCTTCGTAGATGAAAATGATACAGATCAGAGAAGCAAATGCTTCTTCCGTAAAGCGAGTGATGTAGCATACTAGGGAGCTGGAGTCTGTTGCCACAAGGACGATGCACAGGAAAGCGGTCCACAGTCCAATGCTCGTTCTCAGGGAAAGGTAGGAGAGTGAGTAGTCTCTGCAAAAAGGAGCCAGGAACAAGCGCCAAAGGTCAGAATAAGCAAACAGGTGCACAGTTTTCAGTGAACGGCACAGGAAATTGGGAAGGATTTTATTCATGCATTAAGACTCTTATGAGGACCAATTAAGTGCATCACTGCTCTCCAGGCGAACTATCACCAATCAAGGGTGTAGACCAGGCAGAGAAGAGCTCAAATCTATTATTATTATTATTAATCAACCTAGCAGTGGCCCAATTAAGCCAGGCACTGTACACTTCTATATTAAAATTTCAGTCCTTGCCCTTAAGAGCTCACAGTCTTCAAACACACACATGCATAACATTAAGAATGTATAATCCTTAAATTCGATGGGACTAGTTACTATGGCTGGTAGGAAATTTTCCATCCAAAAAAAACCAATTTCTATTGATAGTTTCTCTAGAAATATTTTTTTGGATGGAAAATTTCCTACCAGCCATAGTAACTAATCCCACTGAATTTAAGGATTATACATTCGGATTTCCAATGAATTATTTTTTTAATGAAAGTGTCTGCTTTCTGCAGAAAAACTAAATGCTTGGAAACCAAAATATTTCAGCCAAAAATGAAATATTTCACTTTGTGGACAAAGTTTTTCAGTATTCAAATTTCTACCCAAAAATCAATATTCTCTATGGGGGGGAGGGAACCACTTTTTCCATCAGCTCTATTAGTTATATGCTTAAAGTTAAGCACGTGCATAAGTATTTCCAGGATCCAGACCTAAAAGACAGGACATAAGAAGTGGAAGAGACAAGCATTTGGGGATGGGGGCTAGGAACTTGAGAATGTGCGTAACTTTAAGCCTATGAGCAACACATTCATGGCTCATGAAAGTCAGTGTATTGTTCATTGTTCCAATTTTTATTAAATCTATTCACACTATTCCAGTCTTACACCATCACTCATGAAAGCAGCAATGTTTTATTTCCAAGGAGAAAATAAAACTGCATCTTACATTTGCTTTTTTTTTTTAATACACATTTTCCCTCTTAATCTGCCACCTGGCCACATGCATCAATTCTGTACATTCTAAAGAGCACACGGCCTTACTTGCAGAACTTGAACAAAATCTTTTCAAACACCAGCACCGGTCCAGTGCTTCCTAAGATAGTGAGGGGTTGTCCAGCGAACAGAGAGTACACAACTCCAGTCATCGAGGCACCAAATAAGGATTCTATTGCGCTCTGAAGTTAAAAACAAACAAGCAAGCAACAGATAAATGTTCCCCCATCTTTAAGTTTTATACACTTTGGGTCTGAATCTCATTTAGGTGGGCGTAAACTATATTCACACCATTTTAAGCTGAGTATACGCTGCCAGAGCGATGTACAGGACCTTAATGGAGAATTCATGCGATTATTTTCAAAAGAGACTAACACCCGGCCAGATTTTTAATGGGAATCTGGCACCCAAATCCCTTAGTTGGTTTGAAAATCCCAATTTGCGTCTCTTTGCTTGCATTTTACGTGACTAAACAGCAATAAGCATATGGATGTAGTACTAAGGGACTTTAGTCAGTGACCGAGGAGATCCTTCCCAGTCCTATATTCCTTTTGATGGAACTAAATACGCTGCCTCAGTTTTCCCATCTGTACAATGGAGATAATGAGAATGCCCTCTTTTGTAAAGCACTTTGAGAGCTACTGATGAAAAGTGCCAGATAAGAGCTAGGGATGAGTATTGTTTATGGATTGCAATGTATTGGATTTAGTGAGTAAAATCTGCAAATGCCTCTTCCTTCCTTAAGATTTTATACCATTTTGGGGGTTCTGGACTCCAGCCCACGACTGCAAAATGCTGCCATATAAAAGAACACGTGGACGGTGCTGAATGAAAGTGGCGTGGGCTCATGGCACACTCTTGCCGACCTTTACATAAATACACAACCTGTGGGGGTGTGGGGAGATAGTCACACTGGCAAAGACAAGCTGAGGAGTTGTACGGTCTAACGCAGCGCAATGGGAAACCAAATTACTAGAGACTTTGGACTTGTGCTCACAGCGGCTAGCCCCTGCTGCCCCTCCTATTGCAACAGCTACACTCGATTTTTAGCACACTAGCTCAATTGGAGCTAGCACGGATATACCTCCTCCAGCTAGAATCTACACCTCCAGCTCCAAATAAGTGTAGATGTACCCTGAGAGTTTTACACAGATACCCATCACCTTCTATCTATGCCTCCCATCCTACCTACGGCAGGATCTTAATTTTAAATAGCAATCACTCCGCCAGGCTAGTGTTATTCACCTATCCAAACGGAGCGGGCTGCCCCGTGGAATAACAGCTTTGAAAATGTAACATTGAAAGCTACGCTTTGTTAGCCTGCCCGAAGCATAAGCAGCACACGCCATGGAATGCCATGGGGCAGAGGTTTTGTGGATGTGAATTAATATAGTTCCATGAAATCAGTCAGTGTTGCCAACTCTCATGAGTTTATCACGAGCCTCATGATATTTGGTGGGGTTTCTTAAAGCCCCAGCTCCCGGAGTCAAGTGATTACACCAGAATCTCAGCTTTCATTTAAACAAAAATTAAATTCCTAGACTGCCTGGTTGTGGAGAAAACCTGCCCCCTAAAGGCTCAACTAGCAGAAGGCAAATCAATAGAACTCAAAACATATTAGCAGCAATGAAATGCAATGCCGATTGCTCTTGGTGTTCTCTGATGTAGCTTGTTCTCCTGGGAATCATACATTATGCATTAGAAAAAAAATATTCTTACTATTTGTCCATCGGTCGCTTCTCCAAGCAGCCCCCCAAAGGTAATCACGGGGGACATGCAGGCACAGTATAGAAAGAGGAAAGACGCCAAGCACTGCAAGCTCAGAGCATCCCTGAAGTCACTCCAGAACCAAGGAGCTTTTCGTTTCACATCCATGATCAAACCACCAAAGAGCCTGCAAAAAAGAAAAGAAAATGATATTTTCCCCCCTATTGGAGACAACAATGGCAGATTTTCTCTTTTAAACAAGAGACAAGCAATGCTGTCTTGTAAATTCTCTATGTTGCAAGCCACCCTACACCTTGCTCTGACGCTATTCATAATGAAATGATGCCTCGCTCCAATGCTTTCCATCAGATCTTAAAGTGCTTTACACAGGAGGGAAGTGTCAGTAACCTCATTTAAAGATGGGGAAACTGAGGCACAGTGAGGGGAACTGACTTGCCCGAAGTCACCCAACAAGCCAATAATAATGAGGAGTTCCAGTGTTGTTCAAATAATTGTTTTCACCCCACAGCGAGAGAAATCGGGATACAACAATGCCCCTGGTTGTGATTAAACCTAGGATCCCTACATCTTAAAGCATAAGCTGCTACTGCTTGACCTAAAGAACCAGCCGTTAGGATGGAAAGATAGGTAGGTACGATAGCCTGGTGGATAAGCCACTAGTCTAGGGGGAAAGAACCGCACTCGATCCCCAACTCAGCCAGAAAACATCCTGCGTGACGGTGGATACGTCACCTAAGGTATCCTGCGTCTCATTTCCCCATCTGGAATATGGTGACAGTCCTTCTCTGCCTAGCAGAGATGCTGGGAAGATAAAACCCATTAGTCATTGGGATATACTCAGATACTACACTAAAGGGGGTCATATAATTACGGAAGCCCAGGGACAGTTGCAGGACCTCTCTACGTGGTCTAGCCACTAGAGGGAAACAAAGAGCCACATCAGGCTAATGCGAGTTGCCCCTAAGTTTTGCTCCTCCTTCCCCCGTGGAAAATTTTGACAAAAAAATGATTTTTTCCCCTTTTTTGATTAAAAAAATTCGGAGAAAAATGTCAGCTTTTCTGTGAAATATTGAAATCCTAAGTATTTTTATTTTAAAAGTGCCTCCTGGGCGTTGTAGTTCAGCTACCTTATGTTCTCATTCTCCTATAGAGGCCAGGCACTCTCGCAGGACTGCATCTCCCATGCTACACCACCACCCCGAATTGCTATGATGCAGCCACTCCCCTCAAAAGGGGGAGAAAGTGGTGCATCTCGGGAGATGAAGTGCAGCCAGAAAGCTCCAGCCAGAAAGGAGACTGGCAGCATAAGCCACCCAAACTACAACTCCCACGAGGCACCATCTTGAAAGGAAATATTTTGGTTTTCAGGTACAATATTTAGGTTTTCAATTTGGTGCCAAAAAGTCAAAGTTTTCCCTTAAGAAAACCTTCCCATTTTCCAACCACCTCTATTGTCAAGGCTGATATTCTTCCTTTAATCATTAAAATGCACCCTTGTGGTATCTGACTCAAATTAAGGCTCTTTATCCAAATGTTCCTACCTACAGATATGCGAGATACGGTGCATTACTGGTCATAAACCACGTTGCCTTGTGCAGGAAACACACTGTCTTTACTAAGCAGTCCTCTTCAGCGATTCTTGTAGTTTGTGTTTGTTAAGAGCTCCACTGAGTTACACAACAAGCTTGATTGGTCCTACAAAATCCAGGAACTACTCTACTTAGACTGGAGCATCATCCTATACACCTTATCTATTAACCAATTGATAACTAATTAACTAATTAGTTGATAGCTAATTGATAACTATATAAACTAATATACTACACCTCTCAATTTTAGAGTGGTCTCAGGACAAGCATTGACCCACATCGATCCATTTTTCCCCCCATAAGCCCATTTCCGAAACAAAATATTTTCATTTTTCAATTGAAAAGGACTTTTTGTTTACAAATTTCCTTTACTTTTATTTTTAAGACATTCACACGTGTGAAAAAAATTGCTTCAAGTTAAACAAAACACTTCATTCAACTCAAAATTAATGTTCTAGACTTTTCGATTTGCCAAAAAAAAAAATTGTGCCAACATGAAACCTTTTTAGCCCTGACTTTAAAAAAAAAATATTATTTATTTGTATTATCTTAGCATGTCAGACCCCCTGTTGCGCAAGGTGCTGTACAAACACAACAAAAAGACAGGTGACAGCCAACCAAAAAAAAAATCCATTATTCGCAAAGCTCTAGGGTGAACTTTAAGGAGAGGCAGATGAATGTTAAATCTTGCCGCACTAACCTTCCCGTTCGTTCAAGTTCGGGTCCACTGTGCTGTTCTGGCTCAGTATGGCAAGCAGTGCCATTAGGGACACCTGGCATCTTCCTCTTGTCCTGTTAAAACAGAAACACAAGAGCGAGATCTTCGTGGTGTTCGCCTCTAGATCCCAGGCATCTGATTGTAAGACACTCTTCCGTGCTTAGTGGAGTGTGCAGGAACTGGGTCGTATTCCCTAGGTACATATATATACTGCTGCTCTGGTAGGTTCTGGTGGCTTCTGCCATAACAGAAAGGCCCATTAGAGAGCTACCAAACTATTTAAAGGGGTACTACCCAATTCCTATACACTACACTAAGGCCTTGGTCTTACAAACACTGATGCATGCTGTTAATTTTATGCTGTCAATGGCGCTACACACACAAGTAAAGTGATACTCATGCGTAAGCAGTGGCGGATTAGTCACAGGCCCAGGGACCCCAGCCAATCAGGGGACCCCGGAAAAATGGGTACCCCCATGCCCCGACCCCGCTCCCGCCACCCGCCCGGCACTCCTATGGGGAGCGGGGTTGGGGCGCGGTGGCTTGCCCCGCTCTGCCCGCCCAGCGCTCCTGCCAGGGAGCTGGGGAAGCCCCTGCGTCCTGAGCCCGCTCCCCAGCAGGCGTGCGGGGTGGGCAGGGGAAGCCCCCGCGCCCCAACCCCATTTCTTCGGCAGGAGAAGCTCTCCTGCCGACATACCGCTGTGCGCACGAGTGGTTATGTCAGTGTAACTTACATTGCTCAGGGGAGTAGCTTATTCACACTGTTTCTTTCACATTCCATTTTACCCAGGGTGATCAGCCGTCCTGATATTAGGGGCTTTGTCTGTGCCCTGGTCTACACTGGGGGGGCGGGGAGAGGGGGATCGATCTAAGTTATGCAACTTCAGCTACGTGAATAAAGTAGCTGAAGTCGACGTACTTAGATCGACTTACTGTGGTGTCTTCACTGCGATGAGTCGACTGCTGCTGCTCCCCCATCGACTCTGCTTGCGCCTCTCACAGCGCTGGAGTACAGGAGTCGACGGGACAGGGCTCGGGGGCCGATTTATAATCAATCCCTGCTGGATCGATCGCTGCCCGCCGATCCGGCGGGTAGTGTAGACATACCCTTAGATATGCAACTAAACCTTCATTCCCCGAAAATAAAAGTGTCCCAATTTTTTGCACTTGTTATCTGGTCACCCTAATTGTATCCAGGGCAGCATTAGGACCTTGCCAATCACATCTCTACATTGAAACATCCAGCCTCATTAAGCAACTCTGCTGCAATTACTTATTGGTTTCTGTTCTTTTCTTCTGACTTGCATACAGTGCTCTGCCATCAATTACACAACCACAAATAGAATTAAACAGCCCCAAACTCCCGCTGCACAAATGAACCCCTACCTGACTTTGTACTAACAGATACACTTTGCACCAGGCATAAAAGATGAACACAACCAGTTTATTTTGGACTGGATGGACACAGCTAGATCCAGAGCTGAGGGTCTCTCATACAGAACAGTGTTCCACCAGCCCCTCTCTTTGAAATCCAGCCTGGCCTTTCTGGTATCTAAGTACTTATATGGCCAACATTACTGTAGTAGAGACAGCTCATGGTGTCTGACACCATCAGGTGGTCGAGAGACATTTATACGGAACACATCCCAGGACACCGTCAAAACCACATTGAGTAATCGAGACCGCCGACCAGGGAAATAACCCACTTCCTTCCCTGACAAACCAAGGGACGCACCCCACCCATGTACTTATCCGCTACACCGATACTGACTTAGACTCTTTATACATTCCATGGGTGGCGTACCCGAGCCCACTTATCCACTGACACTCTAAAAACTCCCGCACCCCAATCTGGGTCTATGCTGGTTATGTGAAATGTATGTCTCTCTTCATCCTTGTAACCGATACCTGTAATCCCTCACAACTCAAGCCTGACCCCAGATGCACAGTACCTTCCCTCTTAACTTCTGTATATTTAATTTCAAACATTAACTTTAATAAAACTTTTAAATCTGCATGTCTCGCAATCTTTCATGTATTTATCCTCACAACCCCTCTGTGAGCGAATGAAGTGCTCTGATTAGGGCTTGGTGTTTGTCACGGAGGTTGCGGATTCCGTGACTTCCTGTGACCTCCGTGACTTCTGCAGCAGCCAGTGTGGCTGACCCCAGGGCTGCCCAAGCAGCTGGCCCCAGGGACCACCCGAGCACCAGCCGATGCAGCTGGCCCTGGAGACCGCCTGAGCAACTGGCCGTGGGCCAGTGCTGGCTACCCCCTGGCCGCGGGCCCCCGGGGACTCCCCCGTGCAGCTGGTGCCATGGGCCCCCAGGGCTCTCCTCGCAGCAGCTGGTGCTGTGTGCTTCCCCCTGGCAGCGACGCCCCCAAGAGTCAATCAGGGGTATTTCTGGTATAAGTCATGGACAGGTCACAGGCTGTGATTGTTTGTTTCTCGTCCATGACTTTTACTAAAAATACCCATGATTAAGTCGTAGCCTTAGCTATGATCCCCATTTTAGAGACGGGGAAACTGAGGCAGAGAGAGGGGAAGTGACTTGCCCCAAGCGTGGGTGACAGTTGCAGAGCCATGAATAAAACCCAGGTCCCATCCTGTGCTCTGTCCAGTATGACACGCTGCTTCACAGGGGTCTCATTTGTACAGGTCCTGCTCATACATCCCCGTCAGCCATTTTAGTCTCTCTCTCATTCTGGAAGTGAAAAATATTACCGACCTGGGAAGGTACATTTTTCGGTGGTTCAATTCTAATCGATGGATCCCATTCTCCAGGAGGCAATACCGTCACCTGATCCAGGAATTCATCAATACCAGCTACAAGGTCAGCACGGTCTTTGGCTTTATAAGCAACGTCATGGAAAATCTACAAATAAGAGAGTAAGGTTTAGGCATGCTTAGTTTAGGAAGGGGAAACTGAGGCACAGAAAGATGGGGTGGCCTGCCTTTGGGGGGTTGGACTAGATGACCCTTGCAGTCCCTTCTAACCCTATGATTCCATGTTGCACAGCAGGTCAGAGACAGAGCAGGGAACTAAAAACAGTTCTCCTGAATCCCAGTCGAGTGCTTTATCCACTAGATCGCACTGCCTTGCTTGAGTAATAACAAAAAGATAATAATAATGGGCCAGATTATCAAGTGCTAGTTGACTAGAGCTGGTCAGAGAATGAGGTTTATTCCCAGAGAAAATGTCAAGAGCTCAGTGAAAAAAAAAATATTTTGATTCTGAAATGCCACTGATTTGCCTCATGGGAATTGTAGTGTGGTTACCTCATGCTCCCATTGTCCTGTAAAAGCCAGGTTCTCTGGTCAGACTACATCTCCCATGATGCACCATGGCCTCCCCTCTTGGACAGTCACTGGCCGTGGAGCATCATGGGAGGTGTAGTCTGCCTGGGGAACTCAGCACATAGAGGAGAATGGGAGCCTGAGGTGCTTGAACTACAAGTCCCATGAGGCATTGAGGTGGCATTTCAGAGTCAAAATATTTCAGAATTTGGCTGTTATATTTCAGCTTTTAACTAAAATATTTCAACTTTCAGACATTCAGTTTTTCAACGAAATCTCAGAATTTTCCACAGAACACACTTTTTGCAAAACATTTTGTTTCGTTGAAATTACACTCAACCTTCCATCAAAAAACAGTTTCAATGGAAAATTTTCAGACAGCCTATTCGTCACCCACAATCAGGGCCATTATGCAGAGTTGTTGAAAAGCCGGATGCTTATTTTGATGCCTAAATGGGGGCTGAGCTATTTTGCAAATGTGGATTTTGGCTGCTGCTGGGGAAGAGAACAAACTTCCCTAGTGTTACACACCCATCCAGATCTCATTCTTCATCTTATCAGTCTGGAAACAGACAGTACATGCCCTTAAATCCTGGGCTGAAAGAGAGAATGATTTAGAAGAGGGCAGAAAACAAGGAAACGCAAAGGAGAAGAGCTGAAATTGTCACTTGTGCCATACCATACCTCATCTGTCATGAGGGTGGCCATTGACCTGCCAATCTCATGGTACTGATGTGCTTTCCCTTCTGGTCCCAACAAGATAAATAAGAACCTGGCCACAGAAAACAGAAAAAAAAATGCCTTTATTAAATGGTGGTAAAGACCAAAAAGAAACCGCCTGAAGTTTCCAAAGGGATCCGCACAGTAAATCAGCTTCAATGGGAGTTAGCACACAATGCTCATGGACTTGCAGCGGGAGTTAGGGCTGGTCTACACTAGGGGGGGATCGATCTAAGATACGCAACTTCAGCTATGCTATTCACGTATCTTAGTTCGATTTACCTGTCCATCCTCACGGCGGCAAGTCGACTGCCGCGGCTCCCCCGTCGACTCCTCCTGCTGAGGTGGACTATGGGCGTCAATTCGGGGATTGATTTATCGCGTCTAGATGGGACTTACCTCGTTGGGATCGGGACTTCCGTCATGCCTGAGAGAAGGACGGCTGACGTCAGACGCACAAACGCCACCACGGGACGAAGGAGGAAATCCAACTCTCCCACTAGAACGTTGGAAGCTTCTGCTCCAGTAGGAATTTTCTTCATGAAATGAAGCTCCGCCTAGTTATGAAGAAATAATTTTCAGACAATTAGGAGTCACGCCTCCAGATCAACAACTGCACCTTCGAGGCCTGCTCTCTATACAGGTGTTATATTGGTTTAATTATTCGGGTTGGAGGGGGTGCTTTTCCACTGAAATCGTTAAATCGATACAACCATAGCATGGATGCAGTTGTACTGTTATAAAGGTGCCTTAGGACTTGTTTACATGGGAAAGTTTTTTCTGTATAATCTAAGGAGAAGAGATGAGCTAATATTTGATATTATGTTCGGGGTGAGGAGGGGAGGCAAACCAAAAAAATCTGAAACAAAATTCAGTTCAGTTCCCATCAAAAACTAAACTTTTTTATATTTTTTAATGAAACGAAGAAAAAAAACAGAAGAAAAAAATTCATTTCGGTCAAAGAAAACGTTTTGGTTGATTTGAAACTAATGGTTTCATTTCATTTTCGGTCAACCAAAAATGTTTTGTTCAACCCACAATGAAATGTCTTTGGGGGTACTTTTGTTTTGGGACATTTTGGGGGTATTTTGACTTTTTGGAAAAAAAAATGTTTTTGTTTCTGTTGAAACTATTTGCCAAATTCAACCCAAATTTGTGAAGAGCGTCACCACCTGGAAAAATGTATTTTTTTGGCAAATTTACTATTTTTCAAAAAACCTTCACCTGGCTCTAACCACGAGTGAATTTAAATCTATATAGTTATTCCAGTATAACCTCCCATGTGGAATAAGCATCACACGTCAATGGCTGATCTCAGTGGACAAATGGTTAAGGCAATATGGCCCAACCCAAGGGCCAAACCAAGTTGTAAGAACTCATGAACAGATTGTCAAGTTCTCAGAACCCACAATTAGGATCTGATTTTCAAAAAAGCTCAGCTCCCATTTAGGCATCTAAATAAGGATGTCTGTCAAAGCACTGAGCACTAGACCTGTGCAAATAATCAATTTTTTGGTTTGCTGGCCAAACCAGAAAAAATTGGGAGCCAATAATTGTTTCGGGTCACATGAAATATTTCGTTCAACCTGAAAGAAACTTTTTGTTTCATTTTTTGGGGGAGGGTATTTTTTTTAATGGAACTGAGGTAAAATTCAAAAGGAAAAGTTGTTTCCAATCAAAATGAATCCGTCAGAAAATGTCAAAACCAAAAAATTTGATTTTTTTTCCACCATTTTTTCCCCAACAGAAACATTTCAGCAAATTCAATACAAATACACAAAAGGTTTCAGACAACCCAAATCTGTATTTTTTTTAGCCAAAAAAAGTTTTGGCTAAAAAATGTCACCAATCTCTACTTCGCCCCCATTATGAAATTTATGACCAGTTTTTTCAAGCGGGCTCCTCACCCAGCATGCTGAGCTCTCGAAACATCTGGCCCCATCGAATTATGCACATTGCTTGTATTTACCTTGACTGACACAGCCACACGTAGCATCTCACCTTGCTTAAATCCATAGGACTAGTGTCGTGGGTCACTCCGTTTTTAATTTCTAGACTGGTAGTGCCAGGTTGAGGAGACAGCGTGTGCATTGCTAAAAGAAAAAGATAACAGAAAGCCCAAGGAAGCATGTTTCCTCTGTACCATTTGTGGCAAACACACACTGTTGCAGGACAGTAGTTAGTACTATGTGATGTACTGATCAGCACTGTGTTTGCATGAATGCTAAGTAATCACACACTGCTCCCATTAGCTAAAAGGACACTAGAGCAAACATATTAATAGCTTTTGAGCTGCCCAAGACCAGCTCCTTCTCCCAAGGTCCCATAATGAAAAACAAAAATAACTAAAGAGAAATAAAGAAAATAAAACCCTTATAGAAACTTCCTCCCAATTTCCCTGAGTCCCATTACAAGAAGTCTTCTTATTTTGGGGCGTCTTGATAAGTGATAGCTTCATGCGTTTTACAGAATCACCTCTTATTTCTAATACATGTTAAAGGCTATAGTTTCACTGCAGGAAAAGGTGTATTTTTTACAAAACCTGGGTGGTTTTGACCTCAGTGTAGTTATTTGAGGTTAACTGTATACCCCTCACCTAAAGTGCATCGTCTCCACTAAGATTTTACATTGATACTTATCAAAGGGGTAGCCGTGTTAGTCTGTATCCACAAAAACAACAAGGAGTCCAGTGGCACCGTAAAGACTAACAGATTTATTTGAGCATAAGCTTTTCGTGGGTTGCATCTGAAGAACTGGGATTTTTACCCATCGATGCTTATGCCCAAATAAATCTGTTAGTCTTTACTGATACTTGTGACACAGCGATCAGCATTGCATGAATGCCAAGGAGTCAAAACTACCATGAAATGCTTGAAATTGAAACAGAGCATTTTGTTTGACCTGAAATAAGGTGGGTTTCTTTTTTTATTTTTTTGCTTCGCAAAAATTGCAAAATATTTCATTTTGCATAGGGTGACCAGATGTCCCGATTTTGGGGTCTTTTTCTTATATAGGCTCGTATTACCCCCCACCCCGTCCCGATTTTTCACATTTGCTGTCTGGTCACCCTATTTTGCAGTCAACCCACAATGATTTTTTTAATCATGATGTAAAAAACCAACGCCTTTTTTTTCCAGTGAAGTCATAGATAACTCAGCTGGGACTTGTGCTCCCTGGTGATTTAGGCCTTTTGGAAAATCCCACCTCAAAGGGTCAGGCTGTCTGAAGGCGCGACCCAGAAATCCTCACCCGTTTTGTCCAATAAGAGTGGATCCGACTGCTTCTTGCTGACGTCAGTGAAAGAGCGGACAATCGGAAGGAGGTTGTTCCTCTTCTTCTCGTTCTGGTGGTGATGCTTTTTTAAGAGGGCATCCCGGATATTCTCTCTCATTCTTTCATCAAACTCACTGCTTGGTTCTTGCTGATCCAGGATCATATCTGTGGGGGGGGGAGGGGAAGCAATTCTCTAGCTTGCAAAAAGTGCAGATTGTGTCCCTGATGAATGTCCATGTGCTAAATGTACAAGCCAATAGGAAGGGTGGAACAGTGATTAGGGCGCTATTCTAGGACTGAATTTGTGTCCCTGCTCTGCCACACACTTCCTGTGTGACCTTGGGCAAGTCTCCCTATGCCTCAGTTACACCTGTAAAATGGGCTAATAGCATTACTCTACCTCCCAGGGGGAGTTCTGAGGATAAATGCATTAAGGAATGGGAGGTGCTCAGAAAACAGCAGTATAAGTACCGTAGACAGAACTAAACATGCTCTCAAACTATTCTTATTTAGCTCTGTGCTTAGAAAGACTTCATGGCCACAGCAATCACTGAATTACACCTCCACAACCTCCCCATATGATGGGGAGGTAGTGGAATCTCCTTCCTTAGAGATTTTTAAGGTCAGGCTTGACAAAGCCCTGGCTGGGATGATTTAGTTGGGAATTGGTCCTGCTCTGAGCAGGGGGTTGGACTAGATACCTCCTGAGGTCCCTTCCATCCCTGATATTCTATGATTCTATGAATGACTATCCCCATTTCACACATGGGGAAAACTGAGGTACCACACAGATTAAGTGCCCCCATCAAGCCCTTGCCTGAGCTGAGAATTAAACCTTTCCCCTTTGTTTCCTGGTGAAGATTCCCAAGATCATCCTTCCCCCCTGCAGACCACCCCCTCGTGTTCGTATTGCAGTCGTGCTGACAGCGGGCTACATGCTTTCCAAACACCGAGGAAGAGAGCGGGTGAGACTGTAACTTCGGTGGAGCCCGGACTCACTCCAAGGCCTGGTCCACACTACCCCCCCACTTCGGACTAAGGTAGGCAAATTCAGCTACGTTAATAACGTAGCTGAATTCGAAGTACCTTAGTCCGAACTTACCGCGGGTCCAGACGCGGCAGGAAGGCTCCCCCGTCGATGCCGCGTACTCCTCTCGCTGAGCTGGAGTACCGGCGTCGACGGCGAGCACTTCCGGGATCGATTTATCGCGTCTAGACAAGATGCGATAAATCGATCCCAGAACATCGATTGCCAGCCGCCAGACCCGGAGGTAAGTGTAGACGTACCCTTGATCCCTACAGCCCCAGACAGCCAGCAAACAGCGGTGGGACAAAACCTGTGATCGTCTCAACCCACGATGAGCCGGGAATAAGCACACCTCATAGGAGAGCGTTACCACTGCCAGACGGAAGAGCCAACCAATGCCGACGCGATCTTATTTAGGGAGACATTGGAGCATTGTTAATACGTCTTTGGGTATGCCTGCGCAGCTGCTGGGAATGTATTTCCCAGCATGGATAGACAGACACACGCTGGTTCTGCTCGAGTTAGCATGCTAAAAGTAGCAGCGTGGCCATGGTGGCACATGCAGTGACATCTGAGTACATACCCAGGGGATAGGGCTTTTACTCAAGTAGAGCTAGCACACGTCTGTCTAACCATGCAGAGAAGCACACTCCCAGCCACTGAGTACACATATCCTTTGTCTTTCAACGAAGGCAGGGATTTTTCTTTGCTAAAAAGTCCCTGCAAAACGATTATTCCCTGCTTAGCTAATGCAGTTATTATTCCCCATCCTCAGTAATGTAGTTTTCTTTCCTGATTGCATTGCTCTACACATTTAACCAAATTATAACCAGTCTGTAACTGACTTCCCTGAGATTTCTTGGATAATTGACTGTAACTGTCAGTGCTCAGGGAGGAATGTGCTAAGAAGGGATCTGACATCACCAGACCTTGAAAGAGTTTGAATGGAGACCTGCCAGTCAAAAATAATTTCTACAAAGCTGCTTTCTCAATTACCCTCAATTATCTCAACAGAAATGTATTACTTGGCCATCTGCCAAAGGAACTCTGGCTTTGAAAGTTAGGTCTTGTCTACATATTGCAAAATAAAGTAGGGACTGAATATAAAGTGCAATAGCTATTCTATATGGACAATAAGCTATATTCTATATTCCACAGTAAGGTTTTATCTACATGGGGAGTTATTCCGAACTGACTATTCTGATTTATTCTGAATCGTCTCAATCCACTTTGGAAATGGATTAAGGTCATGCGGAATTAGGATTGGTCCACATATGAAAACCAATCCAAAATAAGATTGGGGCATGAATTTAAAGAGGATTAACTATTCCTGATTATCTTCGTGTGTGGATGCTCTTACCCCAGAGTAAGAATGCAATATTCTGAATTATTTATAATGTACTTATCTTAATCCAAACTATTTGGATTAAACTAATAAAAGTGTCCACTCATGGCATCAATCAGGAATAGTTATTACACTTTAAATTTATACCTTACTTTATTCCGGATTAATTTTCATGTGTCCGCAAATGCTAAGAGTGCCTTTTTGCAGTTGAGCTTAATCCATTTTCAAAGAGGATTAAATTAAACCAGATACAAGCACCCTTGGTGTGGAATAAAAGTGTCCACATGGGGAGTTAGAATAGCTAGCCTGCAATAGCTATTCTGGACTGTTTTCCTATGTAGATAAGCCCTTAAAGAACTTGCATAGTTCACACAGATTCCCACGTCTTAAAACGTTTTTTGCCGCCCCAAGCATGGCAGGCAGGCGGCTTTCGGCAGCGCGCCTGCGGGCGGTCCACTGGTCACGTGGATTCGGCGGCATGCCTGTGGGAGGTCCGCTGGTCCCGCGGCTTCGGCGTACCCACCGCCGAATTGCCGCTGAAGACACGGAACCGGGACCTCCCGCAGGCATGCCGCCGAAAGCCGCCTGCCTGCCGCCCTCCCAGCGACTGGCAGGCTGCCCCCCGCGGCTTGCCGTCCCAGGCACACGCTTGCTGCGCTGGTGCCTGGAGCCGCCCCTGCTTAAAACAGAATAAACTTAGGTTAATTATTTGTAACAAATATTTATTCAATGAATTTTACCTCTTTTTCTGACCCCAAATGGTCCAGACATACACTTCTAGTACAACAATAGCATGTTAACCTATTAGACTCATTTCTGTTATCTGAAGTTATTCTCCAGATTATTTCTCTGAATAATTGTAGGTCTGTAAAACATGAGAGAATTTGATATTTGAAAAGTGCGCTCTTTTGATTGTCACATGGTCTGTTTCTGGACCTTGATTGGATTAATGTAATCAGGATTTCAGGGTGGAAAAATCATGATTCCAAATCTAAAGTTCGGTTTCTGTGCATATTCTAATATATTTGCTTAACATTTGCTGTTTTGATGACATCCCTACCGAGGATTTTACAGGAACAAACATGGTGCAAAGGGAATTTATTTCATTCAAAAACGCACAAGGATATTCCCCGAAGCTTTTTTCTCTGACATGACGCAGCTGATCGCTCAGTAGAGCAATACCTGCAATTTCCTCGATGCTGTTGGCGCACATATCCAGAAGGACAGTCCCGTTCATGATGCAACTCCTCAGCTCAAAGAGGCTGTGTAATGAAAGTGTCGCCACATAGGGCTTGCTCCAGCGTTCTCCTCCGTCCTCCACGTCCTCTTCGAACTTCAGCCACCTGGAAGCACGGCAAACCAAACACCAATAAATACCGGCAGCGAGCAGTTCCCGTGAAAAGACTCTTAAGCAGGTGTGGCAGAGATACGGAGCTGTGTATGAAATCTACCCCATAGACAACTCAATTAACGGTTCAAAGCTGGAGAAGGGAAGAGGATCAAGTGCACGTTTTGTTTTTTTAAGCAGCTGACGCAAAAATTTCCACCAGCTCTAATAATGTGCTGAAGGGTCTATTTTATATTTATTTTACATAGGGCACATCAGCTGCTGGGATTGGACGACAGGGGATGGGTCACTTGATGGTTGCCCTGTTCTGTTTATTTACTTTGAAGCATCAGGCATTAGCCACTGTCAGATGAAAGGATACTGGGCTAGATGGACCATTGTTCTGATCTAGTCTGGCCATTCTCATCTTCTTAGTATAGTGCACAAACGCCTCAATCTTTAAAGCATTTGTCCTCGAAACATCCATGCCTTTCTATCTTATATGGTGCCCATTATCCTAGTACGTAAGCATCTCTCAGTCTTTAATGTATTTAGCCTCCCAAGCCCCTGTGATGCAGGGCATCGCTACCGTCCCCATTTTACAGATGGGAAACTGAGGCAGAAAGAGACTAAGTGACTTGCCCAAGGTCACACAGCAAGCCTGTCTCAGAGCAGGGATATGAACCCGGGTCTCCCATGTGCCCGGGCTAACACACTGATCACTGGACCAACCTGCCTCCCCACGTCTGTACATCAACATGCCTGCCTTTGATTCTTCCACATGCTGTTATTACATAGGAGGTGCATGAAAAAGCAGAGGTGCTGTGCTATATACAAGGGATCTGCATCATATCTTCCTCCCCCACCTCTTTACCAAGTCACACTCTGGAAGTGACAGACTATGAAAGCCCCGTCTAGCAGCACCATCTCTTCTTCCAGCAGGTGGTATCATTGGGCAGCACTTCAAGGAAATGGTCCCAAAAACACAGCCTGATGGGAAGTCATGAAAACACATTCAGTTTCATTGAGCCGGTGGGGTATATAGCTTTGTGTCACCTGGCCGTTTCCTTCCATTCGGCATCTTCTCCTTCTTTCACACAGATTTCATCCAGCTCTGTGAACAAATCATGGGGAACATGCTCCTCGTCCTCCTCCATACCAAGGATAAACTGAACTCGCTGAGACGGGGTGTCTAATTAACAAACAGTTAAAGAGGCATCTGCTGTGACCAGGTTACGCCATTAAAGAAATGCCACATTTAAGAGGAAGAGGTTGCTCATGGTTATATGTATCGAATAGAAACATCACGCCAAAGATGCTTGGTTTCAAACCGACCCACATGTCAGAAGCCAAATATAAAATTCATAGCCACCGACTCTGTGGGTGCTCCATGGCTGGAGCACCCACAGAAAAAAAAATAGTGGGTGCTCAGGACCCACTGGTGGCCCAGCCAATCAGCTCCTCTCCCTCCCCCCGCAGCGCCTCCAGCCCGCTGCGGATCAGCTATTCAGTGGTGTGCAGGAGGCACTGGGGGGAGAAGGGGTGGGGCGAGGCGCTTGGGGGAGGGGGCGGAACGGGGTGGGAAAGGGCAGGGTCGGCCCTTGTGGGACTGGGTGGCGTGGGGGCAGGGCCTGGGGCAGAGCGTGAGTCGAGCACCCCCCGGGAAATTAGAAAGTTGGCGCCTGTGATAAAATTTGTATTAGATTTGTAAAAAATTGCCTTATTTGGAACATGAGCTCTTTGGGGCAGAGATTCTTGTTCTATGTTTGTACAGCACTAGCACAACAGGGTTCTAGCTCATGACTGGAACTTCCAGACGCTACCGGCATAGCAAAATAATTAATAATAATCAAAGGAGAAGTAGAAGGAAAAATTCAAAACATTTGATTTACAGGCATTTTAAAGAAATGCAGGTGCCGAGCAAGTACAAATCTGGGACTAAGATACGATCACATCTCCAAAAAGAGGGCCCATGTTTACATGATGTTGTTTGCATGAGACATTACAGCAAATAGATTTACATAAAACACAACGGAATAAAGCCCCGGTGTTTAGTATTGTCATGGCAACACCTCAAATTCCCTATTGGGTTTGGTCCTAAATACATCATAATGTTAGTGACCTTTCAGTTAATGCCTCTGTCTTTTCCACTAATTCATACGTCCCCATCTCACCTCACCCCTACTCCTGGAGTATCATATGAAAGATACTGGAGGTAATTGGCCCGCGCTATTCAGCACTGGCAAGGCCTCAGCGGGAGTATTGCGTCCAGTTCTGGGCGCCGCACTTTAAGGAAAATGTGGACAAATTGGAAAGAGCCCAGAGAAGAGCAACAAAAATGATAAAAGATTTAGAAAACGTGACGTATGAGGAAAGGTTAAAAAAAACCGGCTACGTTTAGTCTTGAGAAAAGAAGACTGGTTGGGAGCGGGGACATGATAGCGGTTTTCAAATATGTTAAGGGTTGTTAGAAAGAGGACAGCAATCAATTGTTCTCCACATCCACTGAAGGTAGAACAAGAAGTAATTGGCTTAATCTGCAGCAAAGGAAATGTAGGTTAGATATTAGGAAAAACTTTCTAACTATTCAAGGAGGGTAGTTACGTACGGGAATAGATTTCCAAGGCAGGTTGTGGAATCCCAGTTATTGGAGGGTTTTTAAGAACAGATTAGACAAACACTTGACAGGGTATATGTGATCCTGCCTCAGTATGAGGGCCTGGACTTCATGACCTCTCAAGGTCCCTTCTAGTCCTACCTTTCTGTGAGTCTATTATTATAAATGTATTTTGCAGATTAAAAATCCCCCAAAGAAAAGAACAGAGCCAAAAACAAATCATGAAATAACACGACCGTTCCGAGCTTTCGCTTGGATAACTTTGCTTGTATGCTGCATGTTTCTCTTCCACCTTTCCTCTGCCTTGTCTATTTCAACCGAAAGCTCCTTTATGACAGGGATCGCTGCTTGCTATGTGTCTGTATCACACCTAGCATAATGGGGCCCCAATCCTAGTAGGGGTCCTCTGGGTGCTTCCCCTACAAATAATAAATGCTGATCATAAACTGAATTACTAGGAGTAAATTCTTGGCCCTCATGAAGCGAACGGCAAAAGCTCCCACTCACTTCAGTGGAGCCAGGATCTCCCCTCTTAATTTCATACACGCTAACTAGCACAAGTTTGGCTCTAACTATTTCAGAGCGAATAAAAAATGCAGATGTTGCTTTCACTGGGGTGAGATTGGGCAATGAACTTTCAATGCCCAGTGCTCCACGTTAGCCCAAGAACAGCAATGCCAGGCAATTTACCAACTCTTGTGGTGCATACTCCATCCTGGATAACTCTTAAATCAAGACTCTGGGTTTTTCTAACTAATCTGCTCTAAGAATTCTTTTGGGGAAGATCTCTCGCCTGTGTTATACAGGAGGTCATGCTAGATGATCATCATGGTCCCTTCTGGCATCGGAATCGATGGATCTACTAAAAAATATTTATTCCCATTACTTACATAAGTTATGCTTCCATCATTAAACGCATGCTATGTTCCCATCATACGTTAGCCTGAGGTTTTATTTACCATGAGATTCCTGCTCGTCTTCTTGAATGGCTCCCTTCGCCCGGTCTCGTTTCCTATGTTTTTGGCCATGATTCCTGTGATGTCTGTGGCTTTGTCTCATCAAAGGCATCCGTACCCCAACATACAGCGTTCTGTGCCCTGCGACAAAGCGGAAGCATATTAGTCTGTGTCACTCTTAGCCCCACAGTGCCTGACAAGAGGAATGGTACTCATGGTATAACATTGCTGTTCATGTAGCTGCGCTTCATAACTTATAATGTTCAAAGTCAGTAAAAAAAAAAAATCACTTAAGTAAGCGTTTCTCAAACTGGGGTCCGCGAGGGTACTCCAGGGGGTCTGCGGGCCCCGCTGATCAACTCCTCCCCCTCCCTCCCAGAGCCTCCTGCACGCTTGGGAACAGGCCCTGCTGATCAACAGCTGTTCAGCGGCGTGCAGGAGGCGCTGGGAAGGAGGGGGGGAGCGGGGACCGGGCCCGCTCAGGGGAGGGGGCGGAAAGAGGAGGGGAGGAGGAGGGGCCAGGGTGGAGTGGGGCTGGGAAGAGGTGAGGACTTGGGGGAAGAGGTGGAGTGGGGCCAGGGTCTGTGGCTGAGCAGGGGGGCTTGAGGCGCCACAAAAAAAATTTAAATCAAAATGGGGATCCTCGGGTTACTAAAGTGTGAGAACCGCTGACTTAGGTCATACAATGGTAGAGTTGAGCAAAAAAAAGTCAGAATTTCATTCCAGTGGGAAATTCCAATATTTCAGCTTCTGTTTTCATCATGAATCGGGAAAGAAAAAGTGAAATATCAAAAGTTTTCATGGACCAAAACTTTCAGGAACATTTTGATTTGGAAACACCCGTTCCAAGTCGGTTCAGCATTCGTCACTGATAGAGTTGGCAGACGACCCAAAAACTGGCAGGCTGGTAATTAATGAAGAGAACAGGCCACTGATTCAAAGAGATTGCGTGGTGAACTGCATTTTCACACCGCTACATGCACATTTATACACCTGGGGACAAAGAACGCAGGCCATGCTTATAGGATGGGGGGGATCTATCCTGGGAAGCGGGGACTCTGAAAAAGATTTGCGGGTCGTGGTGGAGAATCAGCTGCACATGAGCTCCCAGTGTGACTCTGTGCCCAGAAGAGCTAATGCAAACTTGGGATGCATAAACAGGGGAATCTCAAGTCGGCGGAGAGAGGTTATTTTACCTCTGTATTTGGCAGTGGTGCCAGCCATGGTGGCAGTGGTGCCAAACCTGGAGCACCCTCCTGCACCCCAAATCCCTCATCCCCAGGCCCACCTCAGAGCCTGCACCCCCAGCTGGAGCCCTCACCCCCCCACACACACACCCCAACCCCCAACCCAGAGTCTCTTCCCACACCCTGAACCCCTCATCCCTGACCCCACCCCAGAGCCTGCACACACCCCCAGCCCAGAGCCCATACCCCCTCCTGCACCCCAACCCCCTACCTCAACCTGCAGCCCCCTCATGCACACCAAACCCCTCATCCCCGGCCCCACCCCAGAGCCTGCATCCCCAGCCCAGAGCCCTACCCCTCCCTCAACCCGCAGCCCCCTCCTGCACTCCGAATCCCTCAGCCCCATCTCCCAGCCTGGAACCCCCTCCTGAACCCTAAACCCCTCATCCCCAGCCCCACTCCAGAGCCTGCACCCCCAGCTGGAGCCCACACCCCCTCCCGTGCCCTGAACCACTCATTTCTGGTCCCACCCCAGAGCCCGTACCCCCAGTTAGAGCCCTCACCCCCCTCCCGCACCCCAACCCCTACCCCAGCCCAGTGAAAGTGAGTGAGAGTGGGGGAGAGTGAGCCACCGAGGGAGGGGGAATGTAGTGAGCAGGGGCGGGGCCTCAATAAGGGGAGGGGCAGGGGGAGGGGCCTCAGGGAAGGGCTTTCGGTTTTGTGCATCACAGGTCTCTGGCCTGTGTTATACAGGACATCAGACAACATGATCACAACAGACCCTTCTGGCCTCGGAATCTAGGAATCTATAAACTGCATCTCCCTGTGGGGCCCCAATGGAAGACATTGTTCAGTTACCGGCTCCCCAATCTGACTACATCTCCCATGATGCACTTACACTATGCAGCTTGGGCAGAGGGCAGACCACTGTGCATCATGGGAGATGGAGTCTGGCAAGTTGACAGGGTAGAATGGGGGCATGAGGCACCAAAACCGCACCTCCCAGAAGGCACAGGGGTGCCAAAGTTTAAAGTCGAACTGACTCAAAACTAAACATTTTGATTCAATTCAACCAGCTGAAATGATCTGATTCAGGTAGAACTGATCTGAAACACAATGCTTCATTTAGATGAACCCAACAGAAAATCAGAAAACATTAGCAAAATTCAAATTTTGACTGTGCAAACTGCATTTTCTGTGGAAAATATTTTTCCACAGAAAATTCCCAACCAGGTCTATGATAGGAAAGTTTGTGTATGAATCAAGAGTGTCAAACATACAAATCTAGCCTCCTAATTCTTTAGTCTGGACTGACAAGGTGTTGTTTTCCTTTAAACTAGGTTTATTTTGGTTTGTCTTAGGCCAACTGGAAACAGGTTAAAGCTAAACAGAAATAAGCAGCTCTTAAATCAAAATAATTATGTCCACATAGAGGTTTGCATTGGGTTAACTACACTGGTTTAAAAACTGATTTAAGTAAAACCAGTGCAACTTTCTCATGTAGACAAGAACTCAGTCTATATTCTCAGGGCCGGCCCACAACATTTTGGTACCTGAGGCAGGGAGCTCAAATGACGCCCCCAAGACCCCTCGCTTGGGCCAAAACTTTGAAAGGTCTCAATTCTGCCTTCTTCCTGTTCTACTCCTCTCTGGTACTGCTCTGCTACCTACCCCAATAAAGGAGAACTAACAACTTAAAATGCCTTGTTCAAAAATTTTAAGTAACACTTAACTTTCAAACACCTGAACAGCAAATGTAACTTTTCTTGTCTGCATAGTAAACACTGGCATTTTTATCTGTTTGAATAATCAAAGTGGTGCTTTCCGTGCCTTCTTGGTTGCAAAGATCTGAACTGCTGAAGGTCCACAGTCTGGGCCAGCTCATGCTCTATTGAGATGGTTGCAAGGCCGACCAGCCTCTCCTGTGTCATTGTGGAGCGTAGATGTGTTTTTATTAACTTCAGCTTGGAGAAGCTGCGTTCTCCACTGGCAACTGTTACAGGAAGTGTTAGAAGTATGCGCAGAGCAACAAAAGCATTTGGAAAGCGTGTGGTCATCTTATTTGTGCACATATATTCCAGAACAGCCTTTGGAGTTGATCCTGCTGAAATGTACCTTGAAAGGGCTTTCAGTTTATCACCGAAATCACTCACATCAATATCGCGCATGTCATCATGTGTCAACGCTGTCTCTAGTGCCCTGCATTGCTGGTGTTGGACGTCTTCAGGTATAGTGAGGAGTTTTGGAATATCATACAACATCCCAAATATACTGCTGTGTTCCTTGAGCTGCATGAAACGTTCTTCAACTGACTGTATTGCATAATCTAGCACTGGGTTAAAGAATTCAACTTTGAATTGTTGTTTGGGGTCTCTTATGGGATTATCCCGTGCCTCGTAATCAAAATGTCTTCTTCTTCGGCAGGGCCGGCTCCAGGCACCAGCCCACCAAGCATGTGCTTGGGGCGGCACCTGGAGGGGGGCGGCGCGGCGCTCCGGCCCAAGAGCAGGGCCGCAGCGGGCTCGCCGCCCTCCTCCCGGCGCTCTGGCTGGTCGGGGAGAGCGGGCCCGCGGCCGGGCTCGGCGCCCTCCCCTGCCGCGCTCCCCGCCAGGGGCGGGGGGCGGCGGGAGGCTTTTTTGCATAAAAGCCAGAGCCGGCCCTGTTCTTCGGTGACTCTTGTATTCTTGAATGGGCGGGAAAATAGCTTCAGTGTGAAGTTCCTCTGCCAACTTCTGTGCACTCTTCAGAATGTTTTGAAATCCCTCACCTGACCGGTAAGACTGTAGGTATGACTTTGCTTTGTCCAGTTGTTCCATTGCTCCAGATATATCAAGGTCAACGCCTTGGAGTCTCTTGCTTACAACATTTATTTCAAACAGTATGTCATGCCACAACACTACGCCACACAGAAATTTGAAGTTATGTATGTTTCTGGTGATTCCATTGCCCTCTGCCACTGTTCTCCCACGAACAGTTCCTGTCCTAGCATTATCCTCCATAATGGCAACTGTGGCATCATCTATCTTCCCAATTTGGTGTTTGATAGGCTTTATCGCCTCCACTCGACTTTCCCATTGTGTGGCACTCAGTGGTTTCAGTGTCAGAGAGGATGTTCCCAGATGTTGCTTCAAAATTTGCCATCAATGAGTTGATGCAGAGAAAAATACACAGATGCTTTGAATTACATTAAAAAATTCAGCAGCCTCATTAAAAGCTGATGCTGCATCACTGACCACCAAGTTCAATGAATGAGAACTGCATGGGACAAAAAAAGCTCAAGGGTTTAACTCTCGGATACGTGTCTGCACTCCTCTGTTCTTTCCTCTCATGTTGGCACCATTATCATAGCCCTGACCTCTCATGTCAGCTATCGCAATTCCTGTATCTTCCAGCTTTTTAAGAAGCACATTTGTCATACCAGCTCCTGTAGTATCATCAATGTCAATAAATTCTAGAAATCATCAGCTCCACAATTTTAAGGAAGTTTCCATTGTTTGGCACATACAGCTGATCTGCAGTGCCAAGCAGTGCTAGGTTTTGGGTAGCAAGCATTCTCACAATGGCAAAGAGCCTTTTCAGAACATTTTGCCAGTAAAGAGACTCTGATGCAATCTTCTCTTGATGCTGATCATCTGTGGTGACCTTTAACCTTAGTCTCATCTCAAGCTCTTTCCATCTATGAAATGCTCTCTGGTAATTTGCTGCCTTCTCGTGGCATGCCAGATTTCTAGCCAGATTTTTCCAGTCCTTTGTTCCTGTAGAACCCAATTGTGGCTGGAACATTAGACTGGAAAAGTTTGCAACAAAAACAGTATGTAGCATTCTGGGTTTTTGAGTACATAAGCCATGGCCTCTCCACTTTGTGACCATTGGGGATTTCACGCCAGTAATGTGTTGGATGGAAACTTCTATTTTCATTGTCTTTGGGGAACATGAAGTTTTTCACTTGCTGTGGCTCATGCAGTAGAAGGAAGTCCCTCAGGCTACTGCTCAAGTGGGTCCATCTAGACTTAAGGAACTAAACTCAGCAGTTGCTGTTTCTTGCACTTCCACCACACTCTTCTCTGATCTACACTTTTCTTCAAGAATGTGCACGGTTACATCCATTTGAGATGGAGATATGGATGCTGCAGTAGCTGCCAGGTCACCTGCACTCTGACTAACTGGAAGATCAGGCATCTCCTCACCACTCACATCCTCACTGGGGCCGGAAGGCTCACCGTGAACATTTGTGTCTATGTATCTCAGAAGAGCTCCTTCCACTGCCCCAGAGGAGCGTTTTCTTCTTTCACTCAGGACTGCCGTTCTGTGCCAGCTATAGTGGCTCTCAACACTCAATTGAAGGGGACAAATAAGCAGGCTGGTAGCAGGACCTGAGTGAGGGAAGATATCGGCGTCTTAAGGGCCTAATTGGCTCCTACTACTTCAGTTGACTGCCTGTTCTCCTCAAGTGGGTTCAGGGAAGCATCAGGAAACAGGAAGCTCTCTGAGAAGCTGGTGTTAATCAGTCCAGGCTCCTGGGGGTGCTGGAGAGGTACATAAGAGGCTCCTCCTCCTCTCTCACCCTGCAGCTCCTGCTGCTTTCTGTTATTCCCTCTCACCTTTTCGCCTGCCTGCCCGTTATGTCTCTTGTGCCCTCCTTCCTCCAGCCCAGCCCTCCACCATCTCTGTGCAGCTAGAGCAGAGACAATACATATGCACCAGCAGCGGACACAATTTTCTACACTCTGGGTCCTAGTGGCCCCCCCCCCCCAGTCTGGCACCTGAGGCAGCCGCCTCAGTTCGCCTCATGATAAGGCCAGTCCTGTATTCTCTCAACTGTCAGTCAGATATCTACAAAGGAGCCATTTTCACAGGACCTCTTAAAGGTCATGGACTTGTTCTATTTTAGGTCTGACATATCTGGTTTATTTTATTATTATAAAGTTTCAAAAACAAGGCGGCAGCTTGATTTAAAAAGCCCTTATGAAGGAAACAAACCTCTTTGCAATTTACAACTTTAATAGGACAACGTTCCCGACAGCTCATTAAGCAGAGGCAGAAGGAAATTATTTTCAAAGCTTGCATAAGGCATAGCACGAGAGGAGATCAAGCCAATCTCCTGATAACAAACTATTAGACAAATCATAGCGAGACACCTTAAGCATTCAAATTATTCCAGTGGCCTGTCAAAGCTGGGTTTTTCTACCTGCTGGACTGAGAAAATATGCTGATGAGTCATCCCACCCGTCTCCTATATCTAATGTTGTTTCCTCTGGAGTTTTTTTGTTCCTTTATTTATAATTTTTTTTTAAATATGAAAATGTCTGCTGCCTCTCTTCTTACTAATTTAAGCCAGAATTGAACCTGAAATTTAATGAGATTCTCTGGCCTCTGTTATGCAGGCCGTCAGATTTGGTCATCATAGTGGTCCCTCTTCTGGCTTTGAAATCTGTGAAAGCGGGGACAGGGGATGAAGCGAGAATCAAAAGGCCGGGTTATATGTTGCCCTGTATTTTGTGTCATCACCGGCCCCAGTGCAAGGCAAGTGCAAAAATCTTTAGGCCAGGTGCGTTGAAGACACAGCCTGTATGGTGATCTCCTTGGCCTGAACAATGCAGGCAGAGTCAGCAGAACCCAAGTGCTCTCTCTCTTCTTTTCTAAATATGTTCTGAGCCCTCACGAGGGTTGGTCTTTACTCAAAACACTAGGTTGTGTTAGGACACGGCCTGGAGGCAGCGCAGTACACGGCTCTGCAGCAGGGGCCCACAAGCAATGACGTCGGAGATTTATCCACTTTGTCAGCTGGATATTCATAGAATCATAGAATATCAGGGTTGGAAGGGACCTCAGGAGGTCATCTAGTCCAACTCCCTGCTCAAAGCAGGACCAATCCCCAACGAAATCATCCCAGCCAGGGCTTTGTCAAGCCTGACCTTAAAAACCTCTAAGGAAGGAGATTCCACCACCTCCCTAGGTAACCCATTCCAGTGCTTCACCACCCTCCTAGTGAAATAGTGTTTCCTAATATCCAACCTGAACCTCTCCCAGTGCAACCTGACACCATTGCTCCTTGTTCTGTCATCTGCCACCACTGAGAACAGTCTAGATCCATCCTCTTTGGAACCCCCTTTCAGGTAGTTGAAAGCAGCTATCAAATCCCCCCTCATTCTTCTCTTTTGCAGACTAAACAATCCCAGTTCCCTCAGCCTCTCCTCATAAGTCATGTGCTCCAGCCCCCTAATCATTTTTGTTGCCCTTCTCTCCCTTTGGCTGCTTGCTCCACATTCTTGACAGTTTTTCCCCACATTCTTTCTCCCTTCCCTCTTCCACCCGGCCCTATTCCCCTCTGCGTCCCCTCTCCCTTCCTTTGTCTCTCTATTAGGTAATCCCCTCCAAAAAACTGCCTACCCCCAAAAAATCAAAATTGATGGTATTAACATGCCATTGGCAACCCATCACCACGATCCCTCCCGCCAGGTCTACCCTATAAACATACATCAGTATAACTGCTTTGCTCAGGGGTGTGAAAAATCCACACCCCTGAACAACGCAGTTGTACCGACCTAACCCCCAGTGTAGACAGAGCCATGTCACAGAGGTGGACTAGCTACGCTGACAGGAGAAGCTCTCCCATCTGCATAGTAGCGTTTTCACTGATGGAGTGTTTTAAGTGTAGATCTGCCCTTATCCCCTTTTCTCCTCTCCTTAGCCGGTCTCTGCACCTCCGTCCATTGCTCTAGCACGTAACACAATGGGCCCGCATGCTTGGTTGATCTCTACGCATGACCAAAATAATCATCACAATTAAAAACTCACAACAATTGACAGAATGTCCAATACAATGTGGCATTCCGTGCAAATAGGAACTCTCCTGCTTAGCACTGGGTCAGCTAATTCTTGGGTAAACTAACTGGGTTCCTATTTGTTGCTTTCCTTTGGGAGCTTCTCAGCAGAAGGCTCCCCAGACAGGGTTTGCACGGCGTGGCTGAACAGGTTGTGAGAAGGAACACATTTTACTGATGGATAACTGGCAAGCCGAAACAGGGCTCAGTTTGTCACATGACAAATCACAGACTACCCACATATTGCCCAGATCTGCTCTCAAGTCCCACTGCTGCTCTTTAGCATAAGACCAGTTAATGGGCCAGAGTCTCATGTGCACTGCCAGACGGATGGGAATGAGACTCTTTTGCAGCCCAGGCAATGGCTCTTTGTGCATTTTGTCTTCCAACTCGTACAAAAATGTAACGCTGCTGAATTAGCCATGCAAAGTTCAACTGTGTCCAAAGGGCCTGATTCTCTGTTGTTCTGTCCTCGTGCTGCCATTTACGGCAGTGGGCGTAAGATGCTGCCAAGCCCGAATGGTGACAATTTGCACCTCCCTTTGCCCGGGTGTAAACGACTGCACAATGGAACACCAGGCCTCGGGTGTGTAAAGAAAAGTAACTCACGGCGCTAATGGGTGGGCAAGCCAATCGCAAAGAGACTGACAGAAGTTGAGTTATGGCCAATCATTTATCTGATCTGGAACTTTATTAGCCAAGAAGTACATTTACTCCAGGTTCCATCTAGCTCGATGTTAATGATGTACTAGAAAAACTGAAAAATGTAGTTATCAGCCGCAGCCTTGGACCTTACCTTCCAGCTCTTCTTTCTCATAATGAATATTAACGACATTACTGGTCCCACCTTGATCCACCACTGCCTCTTCGTCGACTCTCTGTTTAAAAACAAAACGAAAATGTGCAACTAGATAGAAGCAATGTCCTATTTGACTCACTGTGCACAAGATTTTCAAAGCGACTTAGGAGGGGAGTGGGGTGCTATTTATCAACCAAAATTCCTTGTGGGTGAACAAATGCAGATTTGGTGGCACCGAAACGTTTCATGACTATGTGGCAATTCTGCCCAAAAAAATGTCAGTCGAAAACTAAAAAAAAAAATTCAAAAAAAATCGAAGTCTTTCCATTTTAAAATATCCTTTCCTTTATTTTTTTTTTTACAATTGAAACATTTCAAAAAGGCTCAAATTAGAAACGAAACATTTTGTTCCATCCAAAATGATTTTTCAACTTTTCAACTCACCCAACATTTTGTTTTCAGTTCAACCCCAAATCTTTTTTTTTTTTTTTAATTTTTCAGAATTGCCAATGCATCAAAAGATCCACTATTGGCACAGGTCTACTGAGGAGCACAGCAGGGGATTCTCAAAAGCAGCATTGGCCTAACTCTGCTCCCACTGGTAAAACTTCAACTCTGTGTTTGTACAGCACCTAACACAATGCAACCCCAATCCCGACTGGGACCAGCAGAACTCTTGAAGAAGCAAGGAGCTCAGTGAAAGGCTATTATTTAAATACACCTCTACCCCGATATAACGCGACCCGATATAACACGAATTCGGATATAACGCGGTAAAGCAGCGCTCTGGGGGGTCGGGGCTGCGCACTCCGGCAGATCAAAGCTAGTTCGATATAACGCGGTTTCACCTATAACGCGGTAAGATTTTTTGGCTCCCGAGGACAGCGTTATGTCGGGGTAGAGGTGTATCAACAACGTAATGGATCGCAATATTGCCAACTCCCATGATTTTTTTGCGAGTCTTGAGATAGTTGGTGGTTTTCTTAAAGCCCTAGTGACTGGAGTCATGAGATTCCCATGCAATCACAGCTTTCTTTTTTTAAAAGCCCTCATCATTACAGAGAAAAGCTCAAACATGGGAGGCAATTGTACCCTAAAAGTAAGAAAAACACAAGATAAATAAATGGATCCCGATCATTTGGAAGGGAAGGGGTAAAGCTCATGATTTTTAACCCAACCTCAAGCCTTGTCTATACAAGAAAGTTGTACCACTTTAACTATACCAGTATAGTTAAAGCGATAAAGCTCCTCTAGTGTGGAAGCAGGTATACCCGTATCAGTGAGCTTATACCGGTATAGTTTATTCCCACATGGGAAGGGGAATAAGTTATGCTGGTATAAGGCACCTTTAAATTGGTATAACTATGTCCACACTAGGGCCCGGTCTACACTAACCCCCCAATTCGAACTAAGATACGCAACTTCAGCTACGTGAATAACGTAGCTGAAGTCGACGTACCTTAGTTCGAACTTACCGCGGGTCCAGACGCGGCAGGCAGGCTCCCCCGTCGACTCCGCGTACTCCTCTCGCCGAGCAGGATTACTGGAGTCGACGGCGAGCACTTCTGGGTTCGATTTATCGCGTCCAGACAAGACGCGATAAATCGAACCCAGAAGTTCGATTGCCTGCCGCCGACCCAGCGCGTAAGTATAGACGTACCCTAAGACTATATTGGTAAAAAAAAAATAACACACACACACACACACGTAGAAGGGGACACAACACACACTGACCAGCGGGTTACACATGCCGCAATTCCCAAAATGATTCAGGCCAGAGAAAATGTTCATATCTCAAAATCACAGGAGACAAGCTACAGAACTGAAACTTAGGCCTGGTCTACACTTACCCCCCAGTTCGAACTAAGGTACGCAACTTCAGCTACGTGAATAACGTAGCTGAAGTTCGAAGTACCTTAGTTCGAACTTACCTCGGTCCACACGCGGCAGGCAGGCTCCCCCGTCGACGCCGCGGTACTCCTCTCATATAGCTGGAGTACCGCAGTCGATGGCGATCACTTCCTGGTTCGACTTATCGCGTCCAGACAAGATGCGATAAGTCGAACCCAGAACTTCGATTCCCAGCCGCCGAACTAGCGGTTGGGTGTAGACATACCCTTAGTAGCAACCAATGCGTACACACAAGAGTTCTTCTTGCTTCTCCCTGTCATCAGTGTTGTGGAAAGGGGTTACCCCCTTCTGACCAAAGGAGCAAAGACCGCCTGCATTTCAGACCTTTGCTGCAGTTGTGGCTTAATACCAGCGCCTTCTGGAAAAACTTGATAATATTTTGTCCCTCTCTTCATGTTACATTTCTGCTATTAATTGTTAAGACTCTTTCAACAGGGGAAAAATACACTACATTATCCTTATTTTTTCTCTCTAGGAAGGTCAGTTGTGCAAACGAATGGAGTAAAAATCCGCTGTAAACAGAATTTCCCAGAAGAAAAGCAAAACCTTTTCACCTGTAAAGAGCAAAGAAGGACTCTGTGATGCAATAGTGATCACTCTTTATTTTGCATTTGTTTCAGAATTTATCTTATTCCCTTAGCTCACATAAGACATTGGGGATCTTTTATATTTGCCTTCTGGTGTTCTTGAGTTTTTAGGGTTATGTCTGCAAGTTCTTCGCTTTAATCACAATGACTAGAAACTTGATTTTTAAAAAAAAGAGCTGAGATTTTCACATAATCACGTGGCTCCAGGAGCTGAAGCTTTAAGAAAAAAACATTGAAAATCAATACAATTGCAAGAGTTGGCAATGCTGCTTTATGGAAGCAGGAAAACTACAATGAACGTTGCTTATACATATTAATTGGCTCGAATCAAGCAAAAACACTGAGCTTGATTTAAAAGCATATGTTATGTCAACATCCATAGTGCACTACCTTGTAAATGGAGAAGTAATTAACACCTCCATCTGCTTCAGAAGGGATACACAGAAGCAGCTCCTTTCTTTTTCACCCACTCCCACCACACTCCTCCACCCTTTTATCCCTGAATTGGAATTTTTTCCTGCATGCCTTTCTGGGTGGCTAGCCCTTTAAATCTGGTAGCGGCAAACAAATCAGCTCTGAACCAGCCATTCTGGCTGATGTTTGCTGCATCTCATTCTCTATTAGAGGATAGGGTAGCACATTCTCCCAGTCCCAGTCTGGACATGCAGGTGCCGCGCACTGGGCATCCATGGATTTTGTTACAAAACACACTCTATAATTGGGACCCTTGGAAAGAACAAAGTTTAGAGACTTCTGCAACTTGTGAGGGGTGCCCCGAACAGATTTGCAACATCAAACAGGGGACAGGCAGCTGGAACAAGTCAACTTTTAAAAATAAAAATCCTCACCATGAGCTTGTTCCAGTTCCTTAGACCCCAAGCTCTTTGGGGCAGGGATGGTCTCTTACTGGACTAGCACAATGGGGCCTAGATCTTGGTTAGGGCCTCTGGATGCAACCGTATTAACAAGAAGGAGAATAGCGGAGGATTGAGGGATCCAAAAGCAAACAGCTGAACAGAAGTGGTGAGGCAGGGGGAGGGATAGCTCAGTGGTTTGAGCATTAGCCTGCTAAACCCAGGGTTGTGAGTTCAATCCTTGAGGGGGGTCATTTAGGGATCTGGGGCAGGGCTGGCCCCAGCCCAGCAAGCAGTTGCTTGGGGTGGCCAAGGGGAAGGGGCAGCTCTTTGGCAGCAGGTCCCTCTCAGAGGGAAGGACCTGCCACCAAAGAAGAAAGCAGCACAGTGGAGCTGCCACCAATCATGGCTTCCCCCTCCACCGCTTGGGGCGGCAAAAACCCTGGAGCCAGCCCTGCTGCTAGAGAAAGCAGTCTCCAGTTCAAACCTGGCCAAAAATGGAGGCTAACATGCTATGCTTAAATTTAGCATATGTACGACAGACCCGAGTCATGTTGATGTTTTGAACGTGCTGGAGTTTCATTAAAAAGAGAATTAGAACTCCATAGAAAAAGACCTTACATTGGAATTGTCAGCATGGGTGGTGTTGGGGGTTGGTTTGTTTGTTTGTTTCTCTTTTGCATTATTATTTCAAAAAAGCAACATCACTTGTAAATAAGCAACATTAATTCCTAGGAGAATCCTAACTATGGCGACTAAAAATAACAGGAAACAGCTGAAATACCCGAGGTGGTTCCAGTCGGAGAACAAGAATTAAGGCTTAGTAGCCCCACACGTTCCAATTTCAGAGTAAACTTGTTACTACTTTGTTGCAAGAAAGCAAATTGGTCCTATTCTGCAGAATTAATTCACGTTACCTAGCAGCCGGCTTATTATTACAAGACCTGTTGGCTTTCCATTTCCTAATTACTCCTGTAACTATCTCTGCCTCTGTCTGTCCCTTCTTAGCAACCGTCACCCAGATCGCTTCTGGCAAGGTTTCAGACAGGCATGGAACCACCTCAGACAGTAAGCGGCTTCATTTCTGAGACATCATACAGATCCTGATTAGCATTTGTTTTATTTGGCCCCTCTTAAAGGCAGCGTATAAAAGCAGTAGCCCCGCACCACTGCCGAAAAACTATATGTAATGCAAATGTAAACTCTTCAGCACAGGTTGTTTTTCAAAGAAGGCCTTTCGGTGGTATTGCCTGCCCTTTGTATCCCTGCCTGAGCTAGCATTTGGAAAGACGCAAGGTGAGAGAGGTTGACTGTGCTCAAGACCGTGGATATCACGTTTATGTAGCCCATTCCCAGACTTGCTGTTCAGTTACATCACCCACCTATTCAAGTATCAGGGGGGTAACCGTGTTAGTCTGTATCCACAAAAACACATATTCAAGGATGTCTATTGCATGCTGACCAAAACATGCCAGCTTCAAAAGCATAGAGTGGATGAAATAATCCACATGACATACACTACACGTCAGCTGATCATGGAAATACTACAGTGACCTGCACACCACACCTCAATGCATTGCACCCTTTTATGAATCCAGTGCAACTTAACTAATGAAGCAGATACGGTGCAACAGCCATTAAGCTGCTAAAATAACACTGCATCTGCATTAACATTAACATCATGTGGCTTCGACGAACCCTTTGCCCT